GTGCTTTCAGCTTCCCAGGGTTTCGGTTTCCCATTGAAGCTTTCACAGTAAAATTGTTATCTTCGCGTTTATTCCCATCAGCATTTTACGTAGTTGAGCTTCTACAAGATGTCTTTAGCTACTATTACATTTAGTGCACACAAAGTAGCCAGGGTCCTTATCCCAAGTGCGTTCCTTCAAATCGTCTGTGCTATCACTGGTTTATATAGAATAATCATAGTTATCAGGCTTGGATTGAAATTTCTCATGACAGCTTTTAAGCTAGAGTGCTCGTGCACTTAAACCGTGAAACAAATAGTACTAATTACTACTAAATAGTGTTGATTATACAATAGGAAACAAAGGAATTTGTATAATTTATCACCTATTTTGTAGTATTTATATTTCACGCATTTAGTGCGAGCACTCTAAAATCAACATTAAAATTAAAAAAATAATAATAAAAAAAATAAAAAAATAAAACGAAAAAACAAAAAACAACAACAACAACAACAGATGACGAATCTGATACCCGAAGATTTTATTGTTGGTTTAAAATAATACAATTGTTTTTTGTGTGCGAAATAATCTCTAAAACATTTTACAGGTGGAAATCATATTGGTAAGGATATGTTGGTAAGGATATGTTAGTAAGGATATCGTTTCTTGTACGTTGAAGTATCAATATATCAATACAAAACGTAAAGTAATATTTGCACTCCAAGAAAGTTCTTTTTGCATACAAAAGAGTTACAAAGTATTTAGTCCTAAATTTCACGATATTTGCTTAACGAGTTTTCTGTTTCTTGTCTCGTCGACAGCACATCCAGCATATTAATCGAACTGTGTACTTTATCACCATAATCACCACCAAAACTACCAAGACCAGGAACACTGCTACATCTACCAGGAAATACTGGTACCAGGAAAGTTGAGTGGAATAAGGACGTAGATGTGCAAGACTCTCGTGTCTAAGGGCGTACTCTATCCAGTCACCAGCCTCCTGGACCGGGCTACGTGGGCGGTCCCTTAGCAGACGTGAAAAYCGTTGTGCATTTTCTAGAAAACTGTAWAAATGTGATAAATTACCAAATATGTTATAGTTGCTAKCAWTAAATTGTCAGAAAACAAAATTTGTTKTAAAATTCATAAGAATTGAGAGCTTAAACAACTAAAGATGACACACGCGGATGAAGTTTCCAGGAGACAAAGCAATAGAGCAAAAATAGTTTGTTTTGCTCCGAGATAAAGCTGGTTTGACGTTTAAAGGGCTACTTGGACGAAAATTGCGAAACATTAAAAAAGACTTGGAATTCAAATAGAACTATCCATATGGGTCTAATAATCATGAAGCAACAGATTTCAAGAAGATATTGATAAAAATCCTTGATAATTTGGACAAAAAATGTTGAAGTAGATGACGTCATTTACCCCATCCTTTTGTTCTTCCATCTTTTGAATCAAAATTTCTCTGATGTGGAATAAATATTTTCCCGCAATTGTTTTTAATAGATATCAATGAGTCATATATTTGTATTGCTTGAAGTTTTGAAATAAGGCCATTTTCATGCAAGTAGCACTTTAATGCAATGGGTCCATGATGACATGAAAATATAAAAATGTCTTAGAAAGATGGTTGTGTTAATCATTGTACCTTTGCTCGTCGATGATTCGTTGTATCTTATAGTAAAGATCGTCAGCTGTAAATGTGACATAGTCAACAGTAAGAGCAACGCCGCTTTYCTCCAATCGAAACGCGTTTTCAAACTGGTCCCCATATATGGGCATGCAAACCATAGGAACCCCGCGATACAGTGATTCATATACACTGTTCAAACCAGAATGAGAGACAAAGACTCTCAATTTCTCGTGTGCAAGTAAGTCATTCTGTGGCAGCCAATCAAGAACCTTTATGTTATCATTCAATGATGATGGGATGTATCCTGAAAATAAAACGAATCAAATCGCGATTAATTCTCGCGATGATTACTCAATTTTTTTTCGAATGTTCATGGATATTCCCAGTACACTTGCTCTAGGTCTATCTTAGCTCTTTACTTAGAGCGGTCATAGACTAAAAGAGTTGTATTTCATACCTTGAAGTCTCCAAAWYACTTTCTGTTTTAATCTACCAAACGCCTCAGCCATGATGTCAACTTTGTCTTTATCCAACACTGAAGCCACGTTGGATCCAAAAGACACGATAATGGCTCCGTCATCACCAGAACTGTCAATCAACTGCTGTAGATCAGGGGGAAGRGGCTTGACTGGYTGGATGTTCAATGGTCCGACMAGCTTGTAGTCTGTTTTGAGATATAACATCCATACCATTAAATCTATTTTACAGTAGTAAGGAGTGCTGTATGCTAACATATTCAAATGCAGAAGACTGTTCAAATCAAAAAGGGATAACTTAGCACATATCTAGKGTCCTGAGACGATTTATTATACATTTCCTAATGACTATATTCTTCCCCCCTTATATGACGTCATTACCTGGTCTGATTGGCTGCGCATGGACATACGCAAAATCCGCCAAACACAATGTCAACTCTTTGTCCARGAAAGATTCTACATAGCTTTTCTCTGGTTTGATCTTGTATTTCAATTTCAAGTCCTGAAAACCTCGAAGAAGGTGAAGACCAACCGTCTTCATTGCAAGAAAAAAAGCAACATTTTTCAATCTCTGGAAAAAGTTCATTTGTGTGGGATTGGTTGCCCGCATTTGTGGAACGTAGGAAACAGTGAAAAAGTCGTCATACGATGATGGAAAAATGGGCAGCGAAGGTGGTCCAGGAAAGTAATCGACACGTCTTATTCCCAGGTAGTCATGGACGATGGGGGAACACAAATTTGCGACGTCAGCAACAAGGAGATCAAATCCTTTGAACGAGTCCAGTAAATTTGTATCTTTAAGTAAAGCTTCGCATTCTATTTGTTTCACTTTAGTCATACTATGGTTTGATTTACTGAACATCATTGAAACGGCGCCGTTTTTTATGAGGGACGATGCAAGAACCTTCTCAAAGAAACCCTTCTTGAAAGGAATTTGATAAACAACGTGCTTGACCTGTCCTTGTTGTTTGATGTCTTGTACCGAGTTGACTATAAGTGACACCTTAGACACAAACAAAAAAACATATTTTGAAAATAACTTAGTTTACTATCTTTAAACTGTGACATCATCTTAATTATCTTAATTGATTTTTAATCCCAATTTTCTCTCTAAGTTAAAATCTGCATCTGATGACAATTAACCAAATCTCTTTCCATTAATTCCCACTTAAGGAAAATAACAAAATCATCGATTTTACATACTCTGGTACGCAAGACCAAACCTAAGAATTGTACATTTGTTTCTATGTTCAAATCTTTGTTTTGGTCGACATTGGAATAAAATATTCATTTTCACATTTTAAAGTGCATCTGATACTGCAGCATCTAATGCACTTCAATGAATTGACCGAATTGAGATTATCGCTCTTTCTGCACTACCAGAAAGAAGCAGGGAAAGCGATACATAAGATTTATGGATGACTGCATTTCATATGTCGTTCATATGTTAATTACTGCATCAAAGCGTTTTCAGAAACGAAAATAAATATTTAGGCATACAATTCTGTGATTGTTTGTATATGCATTCGAAAATACAACAATTTTTAAATAGTTTTTCCGATACTAAATTGCACTCGCTGGTTCCAATTCTACTGCTGCTACTTATTCCCGGAGTAATCAATCAATGAAACCGATGATCGATAAAATCGATATTAATCGTTGCTAATTAATCGATTAATATTGGAAATCGATGACTAATCGATGAGCAACAAATCTGTGACCTTTTATCGATTAGTAATCGATAGTTAAAACATCATCGATTAATATCGATTAACATCGATTACATCGATTCGTTTACTTTTGTCKTACAAATGAAYGTGAAACGGACACTGACTATATAGACCAATTTATAAATTAATGATCATGATTTAATTTACTTTTTTAAATGGTTGTTAGTTATTTTAATTTAAAGAAATTAGCGATCATCCTGGCATTATATAAAAGAGCTCAGAATTGATATATCATAAGTTATTACGTGTATTAAACAATACGTCAGAACCGTAGCTTCGAAACGTCTGCTGTTCATACTAGTGTTTCGATCTCTCTCGACGATTTCAACCGGACTTAGATGACCGATACTAATCGATATTAATTAAAGAACTTTTCATGTGACTATCGATTAATCATCGATTATCGATATCAATCGATATTAATTAACTAATTCCATCGATTAATATCGATTAATCGATTAGGTGATCGATGATCGATTTCCATCGATTAATTACTCCGGGTACTTATTGCAATATCACTAGTTTATGCAAATTTGTAGCATGATTCTTACAATGCAATCCGACGAGTTACCTCATGGCCTCTATTAGCTACCTCTTGTGCCATCTKCTTCATTGCTAGGTAGTTGCTTGCACCAAAAGTCGTTAGAAATACTATTTTTCCGGAGTGAATAAATGATATCATAGTTAAAAAGACCAAAAAACCGAAAATTGAAGAYTTGATAGAACGAACCATGTTTGTTACCAAAGTACGGTCACGCAATACTCGCGTGACATCAGAACCATGATGCTTTGCAAACGCCGATACCAATGGAGYGGGACAGTAMCATGACAATGGTGAGAAAAAGATGGCGAAGAATAAATATATATGTATTGATGATGAAAATGGGAGTAACACAGGTGATAAAGAAATTCACAATAAAACTGATGACTTTTCTATGGACTGGAAAAAACCTTGAAAAGGCCTACAATTCTTCTAAGATAGACTGGAGTAAATGAGCATTTTATAACCAACTTGAAATCACAGTATTTTGACTCAAGAACTTCCTATGCTTACAGATGGTTTTGTATATGAGTTACATATTCTTGCCTAAAATACTGTTTTCACTGAGTTTTCTGTTTCTTGTCTTGTCGACAGCACATCCAGCACATCAATCGAACGGTGTACTTTATCACCATAACCACAACCAAAACTACCAAGACCAGGAACACTGCTACATCTACCAGGAAAAACTGGTACCAGGAAAGTTGCGTGGAGTGCGGACGTAGATGTGCAAGACTCTCGTGTCTAAGGGCGTACTCTATCCAGTCACCAGCCTCCTGGACCGGGCTTCGTGGGCGGTCACTCAGCAGACGTGAAAACCGTTGTGCATTTTCTCGAAAACTGTGCAGAAAGAGAGAAGACAAAATGTTATCAAATGTCATGGTAAAAGGATTTAAAATGTTGCTATATCGAAGATACTTGTATCGCGAAGAACTTCAAAGCTTTTCGATGTAATATTGATCGTTTTTTTTTTTTTTTGAGATTCAAAAGATAAAAAAGACGGTAGCCATGTTGGAGGAATGAACAATAGATACTAATGAGAAATCCTCATTAAAGTTCCTCCAAGATGGCCGCTGWTTTTTGTAGTGAAAATGAAGAATAACATTGATGACTGAAAACGTTCATACAACAAAAAGAAAGTAAAAACAGTGAAAAACCTTGGTTCGTTGATAACTCTTTGTATCTTACTGCATAGATCGTCAGCAGTGAATGTTTTGTAGTCAGCAATGAGTGCAACACCTCTCTCTTGCAATCGAAGTGCATKWTCAAACTGGTCCCCATATATGGGCATAGAAACCACAGGAACCCCACGGTACAGTGATTCACAGAGACTGTTCAAACCAGAATGAGAGACAAACGCTCGCAATTTCTCATGGGCAAGTAAGTCATTCTGTGGCAGCCAATCAACAACCTTTATGTTATCATTCAATGATGATGGGATGTATCCTGAAAATAAAAAAGAATGTAGTATCTCTAATAGTCTCCTTCGCGGTTCTCTGCGCCATCTTGAAAGGAAGCCGTCGTGCCTTTGCATGGAAGCGAGACAATCGTTGAGCGTGCAATAATAGATACCTGTAAATAATTGCCTGTAGATGTAAGACATAGATTTTTATCATTGCACGCTCAACAGTCGTCTCGCTTCGACGCAAAGGAACGGCTGCCTTTCAAGATGGCGCTTGGAATACGTGAAGGAGACAATTCCGAAGCTCTACAGTTTCTTACAAACAGCCTCTCTGAGTTTTTATTCCTTACCTTTCAGTCTCCAAATCACTTTTTGTTTTAATCTACCAAAAGCTTCAGCCATGATGTCAATTTTGTGTTTATCTAACACTGAAGCCACGTTGGATCCAAATGAAACAATRATGGCTCCGTCATCACCAGAACTGTCAATCAACTGCTGTAGATCAGGGGGRAGGGGCTTGACTGGTTGGATGTTTATTGGTCCTACAATCTTGTAATCTGTTTTGTGAAATACAAAATTCAAAAACAYTTATTGATGTGATTTAAGAAATTATGGTTGATTGCAATATAAACCCTTGTTGATATGCGACTTATTGGGCACTTTTAATTCCAACGATTTGAATGAACGCTTTGTTTTCAGAAAATTTTAAAACTTTTGTTCTCTTTTTTAGCACCTCTCTTGTTCTTTTTTCTAACAMACTTCTTACTTTAATTGTTCATTTCTCGTTCTCGTTACCATGCCTACCTTGCTCCTATTGTTCTACCTTCTTTGATATTCTCAATA